ATCAATATGGAATTGTAAGTTTATACTGTGGGAAGTTTTCGGCATCAAGATACTAAACTTAATTTATAGAAAATGTTGCTGTCTTGTCATTTGAGATTTTCAGGGGCACAGAATAAGACAAAATCCTCCGCTATATACTGTACCTAGTTATCATTATTTGTCTCGTTATATTTCATAAATTCAAGGAAACTGTTAAAGACGAAGCCAGTTTTGTTAGTTTTTTAAAGTTGCGAGAAATCAATCGACATAAAATTGCTAAGGCTATACGAAATTCAGTCCAAGGATTTTGCGCTTTATTGAACGCATCCGTAATACAACACCGAATGCGTGTAGGATATATTCAGGATCATCATAAAAAACCACTCGTCCAGCAGGTCAGGTTGACAAATCGAGTTGAAACAAAAGCTTTGTGATCGGAGTCCGCCCTGACGTTTTTATTCTCTCAATAAAACATTTCAAATCCGCAACTGAAGGAATCGGTAAAAGATCCCCAAAATTTGCAATAAAATCGAACCCAAACTTTTTGCCGACCACAGATACCAGGAAGGGAATAAAAATAAAATATAGCGAATAATCCAACAATTTTTCAAATTTCATGTTGAGCTAAAGAAACATTTAATAAATTTGTTTTCGCAAGTAAGAACTAATCAGGCCACGTCGTCCGTTGTTCCCGAAGTGAGTCACCAGCTTCACTCGAGATCGCGCACAAGCCTTTATAATCTTCGAAACCAGGAGATAGTCAAATAGTGTATAATATAATATAAAACTATCAAAACCAGGAGATCGCACATAAGCCATAACTTTCAAAACCAGGAGATAGTGCATAATGTTAAACTTTCAAAATCGGGAGATGGTGTATAATATTAAACTTTCAAACCCAGGAGATCTTGTATAACATTAAATTTAAACTTTCAAAACCAGGAGATTGTGTATAATATAAAACTTTCAAAACCAGGAGATCTTGTATAATCTCAAACTTTCAAAACAAGGAGGTTGTGTCTGACCTAAAACTTTCAAAACCCAGAATAAGCTCCGTTTAAAAAATAAATAAGAGTCCGGCTATATTTCCCGGAGCTGAGGCAGCCATGTGATCAGTCTAGAGCTCTGTAATTTGTGTACACTCTAGTAACGGCTAATGATATTGTAGGTAATAAGTTCGCTTATAGCACCGTAATCGACAGCGTTAACCCATTGACGGCACTGACGCGGTCCATGATGAGTAGCCCATTCCTGGTCCAAAAATAAATACGCAACTATAATAATTAAAGCAGGAATATTTAATACAAGAAATTTATTTAGATAGTAGGGTGATGAAGAACTTAATGTTAGAGGTAAAATTATTATCGAATTACGGAAAATGTGAAGTCACGGACTGATGGACATGACGTGCACAATAGCGCCTTTTTTCCATACATGAAAAAAAATGCGCTAAAAAGGTTAAAAACTAATTTATGAATAGAATTCTATCTTTACGATATGCACGCTCTATCGCATTTTATCTTTACGCTCAACATCTAAAATCGGGATCTGTTCATGCGCTTAGCAATTTCCCAACTATACTCATTTAAATTTGCAAGCTGAGCTATTTCTATTCGGGCATCTTTGTTAGAACATTTAAGTTATTTTTGTTCGACGACAAATTTGATGCCGATTCTTCGCAGAAAAAAATGAACGTCTTTAATTGTGCATGAAATGAACTGGATCGCTTTCATCGTCAAAAACTCATAGATAATTTTTTAAAAGAGATTTATACTTAGATAATTTTTAAATACTACAACCCAATCTAAACGAACTTTAGAATATTTTTGGGCCTAATACGTACGCACCACAGGCTGCATGTTATGTAAGTTTTCTGCGCATTTTTTTGAATTTACATGAATTCAGGTACCTGGAAGTGCCTTGTTTGTGCGGTGCTTCTCTTTCTACAAAATTAGACCAAATCTCAATTGAATTGAGCAATACAAAACCACATTCAATTTTCTCAAGCCAAATCAGAACAATGAAATTTTCCGGTAATTCACAAGCATTGTGATTTCTTATTCATGACGTTGACTTCCAAATTTGACTAACAAAGAAGACTGGAATTAAACTTGAGTGCAAACAGAAGCCATAAATATATTTCTTTCATCTTTACATCACGTGCGAGAATGACGACACCATTATTTAGGATTAGTGCCTACAACTCGACATATCTTCATTATTTTCGAGACATACGAAACATACCACGTGTTCGCGCGCTTGAAGCACCAGGTGCGTCGTTTATAGTGAAACAAAGCCAGGATCCAGCTTGGTTCCAGTATCTCACAAATAAAAACAAATGCTTTTATAAGGGAATAATGCCACCAGTGTTTGCCCACTGAATACCTGCAATTAATCACGAACCTGACATGTCAGGTCGAGCAAGTAGCTTGTTTTGTTCTGCGTGAGTGAACACTTATAGAACGCACTCGAGTATTTCGACTAGTCCTGTGAGTGTCCACCGTATGCCAATTAGTCTGATAATTGTGGCTTCTTATGTGTGCATGTGCGCATCATTCATTGAGATATACACATGTGTTGTGGCAACGAAATGAAGAAGCTGAGGCTGTCATGCTCAATACTGCTTTCAAGCCGATATTGCAGTCAATGAAGGTAATTGTTTATATGCATGATGAGTCATATGCAACTGTAATCATGACGTCACTGATGGAGGTAATTAGTTATCTGTATGATGAGCTCAACTGTAATCATGACGTCACATGACCAAGATAATTAATTAGTCATCTGTATGCGCAGTGACGACCACTCGATCATTTGGTAATTCATGTTCAGGTGCAAGCTTTAATTATTACGCTGCCCCAATACTTATTCCTCCCATGCACTTACTCATCACACAAAGAAGTATAGTTAGAATATGGGTTCAAAGTGTGTTTTCACAATACGCATTCATAATGCTCATTCATTCTAGTTATATTGTTGGTTAATTCGCTTAATTGCTACCTTATGAATTTAAAGTGCGAATTACAGATGCATATGCATAATACGTTAGATGCATATATGCCCACAAATAGGCGTACGCAATATGTGTTGAAAATAGGTTTCGCAACTTGCAATCGTAATCTGCATTAATTACGCGTATTCGCAACATGAATTCACGAAGTGTATCCAACATAATCCATATCCAAACGTATACGTACACATGCAATATGACATTACGAAACGTTTATTTAATATATACGCTTTCACAATAGGCTATTAAAAAAATGTTAAAACTAGTAATTGAAACACAGATTTGCAATATTTTACTCCCTGACAAACTCAGTTTTTCCCCGTTTCTCTTTGTTGAAAAATGAACGACTTGAAAAATTCTTAGAGATCATTTTTATTGACAATCGTCGAACTTCTGTTGCTAAAGTTCATGTAAAAGCATTATTTTTAGCGAATTTCCTCATTTATGGAAAAAAAGCGCTATTGTGTTCGTCATGTCCGTCCGTCTGTCTGTCTGTGACTTCACGTTGCCGAGTATCCATGATACTTGGCAACGAGGAAATGCGCTCTCTAGCTGTCACTCACTGCAACGAGTACTGATACATTTTTTGCCGTGCCTCATGTTCTAATGACGTATTTCTGTTGCTCATGTATCATATTTGATTATAGTGAAAAAACTGCGGAGGTCCATTCCTGAAAATATTCTTTTACGCGAGTTCTATTTTTCTTCACAAAAGTTGTTCTATAATTGTAAATTATTCATCCTTACAGGAGACATAAAATATCCCACATACTCAGGTGAAAATCATTATTGGCTTCACTTGGCCGCCCAACGTTCAGTCGTCCAAGTTTTGTCAACTTTAAAACAAGTTTTCAAAAAAAAAAAACAAGTTTTTTTCTCGAGGTGCACTAGCTGCAAGTGGTCAATCAACGTCCCACACTCAAACGTCCTTCGTTCGATGGCGATTTTTCATTGACAATGATCCTTCTTTTTAACTTTCGAAATTTGAGACGGTGGCTTCACTTTTTATTTCGTGGATAAATTTTTACTAATTTTCTCAGCACCAAATACTCTATATATAATAGTAGGTTGATAAAAAACGTAGTATTTAAAAAAAACGTACATTTAAAAACTCTATGGAAATTCGCGGGATATTTTTATAGTCAGTCTAGTATTTATTTCAAGACTCGATCTATTGATGTGAAAAATAAGTTTTTATATTTGCGTATTTATCCATAGAAGTCAACAACATTATAACTAATTCAATACAAGTGATTTTTCCATTTGAATTTCTCTTCAATAACTTCGTTTCCATTGCTTGTCTTCGGGATTAAATCCACTACAGTTCATAAAGGATTAATTAAAATAAAAAGCTGAGGAATTTCTTTTTTATTATGCATTCAACTTCACTGTTAACAATGCAATATTATTTGTACATGACATCGACTTGGAGTTGAAACTTAGACGTAATAGATTAATTACCATGATGTACATATAATACATAACTTAATACAATTAGATATTAAAGCTTTTGCAAGGCAGGACGTGATTTGCAGAAAAACGCAAACTGCGGCTGCTTTGTATCAACTGTACAAATCACAGAAAGCATTCTATACAGAGTACAACACATCTTTCTGATGAATAAAATATTTCTCTACACGTATTTGTGAATATTATGCATTATTTCGCGTCCAATCTTGAGTAAAAACCTCAAGAAGTGAGAAACTCAAGCTAAAATTAGATTATTAATCAGGTGAGTTTTGCATAGAACTATTAATGAAAACCCCATAAAAATCCAACCAAGATCTCTAATACAAACAATTCGCAAATACATAAAAATTAATCAAGTCAACAAAAACATTCAGCACAGCGAACAAAGAATCTTATAATTTAAATATAGCTTGATTAACAAAATCAGCAAATTAAATTACCGACCTTTTGAAAATAATAGAAATTTGTTAAAAAATATAAGAAGTTTAATTTTAGAGATAACTTAATTTTACTTCGCAGTTGCATTTTTCCTGTGACATTGTTAATTGTGTAAAATTTGGGAATTGGTTCCTCCGAATAAAAGGTTTTTGGCTTAAGAGATCGTGTCTTTCGTGGAAGATATTTCTTCGTGCTGATCCATCCAGACTCCTTAACTTTTGAATTAAACCCCAACCGCTGTACAGAGATCAGTAAGCATCACATGTTATGCCATGCATGAAAGGTAAAGGTACTTCGACCATCAACTAACATTCTATTTACATAATTATATTGGAATTAGATCACGGGACAAATATTCTAGCGTGACCGATAAAATACAAGTTAAAAATATTCACACGTTTTCTCCGGAAAACGAATTGTCCACAACATATATAAAACACGCAACACTTCATCTTCTCATGATGTCCTCGATGGTGAAGCCGAGTCTTCTTGGTCTTTCTTCCTCATCGTCAGCGCCAGGCTCCTCCGCAAGGGTCTGCATGGGCTCGTCCTCCGTCAAGGCTGACGAGGTGACGAGGATGGGACTCGACGATCGCTCGACTCCTGACGAAGGCGAGACGTTGGCCGAGCAAACTCTTGGTACCCTCAACAAAACATTGAGTTCGGTGCTCGATGATAGGTCTGAAGAAGTCGGGGCGATGTCGTGTGCGTGTTGGGCTTTGTGCACCGCCAACGTCCTGTTCTGACAAAAACCTTTACCACAAACTTCACATTTGAAAGGCTTGTCTTTACTGTGGATGTATTTGTGATCACGAAGGTGGTCCTGCCTTCTGAAGGCCTTGCCACAAATATCACAAGGGAACGGTCGCTCGTCCGTGTGCGTGCGTTCGTGAATTAGGAGATTGTAGCTTTTGGTGAACTCACGTCTGCAGAATTTGCAGATATATCGTTTCTTGGGTCTACATAACCTGCCACCAGGGTTAAGTAAGAAAGTAGACAGGCTTGAAAGATCAGCTGACCACTGCAAGTTAGTATTGTAACCAGACATCAATGTTGCTGCAATTCGGGCATCGCACCAATCTTTTCCGGCGTTTCCACTAGTACCGAACAGTGGCAGGCCATGTAGAAGTGGCATTCCAGTAGCCATTCTGGCAGGTAGTGGCGAAAATGCTGATCCCAATGCACCAGGGATATACTTGGCACTAAGTTTACTTGAATCTGGAATTTCAGCAGCGAGCACGGGCGAGCGTGCCATGATGCGTGCACTTAGATGTCTTCAGTCACTCTGTCGCCGCTGCATCTGGTCAGGGCTTTTATACCCGGCCCTCGGCGTTTGGGCTTTGGCCCCAGCAGCCAGTTTGCAACTATTGGCCGCTGATGCTACCAATAAGAGGAGGTCCTGGGCGGTTCGAAGCGCTCAGGAGCCTTGGTCATTGGCTCCGAGGTAGAGATGGAGGCTCTACCGGCCTGCCGAAGAAGTGCTGGGGATGTTATCTGAGGCTTCAGCAAGCGTTCGATGCCTCCGCTCTGCTGCTGCACCTGATCGCAGAGTTTGCGGTGAACACACAACCTCCAACGAATTCCGGCGGGACTCGTAACCTGTCGTAATGATGCCACAACTTGGGACTCGCAACGTCGAAACTCGTTGAGGTGTGGAGCGGGCGGAATAGGATGAGGACCGGGGTGGGTGGAAAAGGTTTAGGTATGGGGCGGGTGGAAGAAGTTGAGCGGAAGGGAGGGTGAGACAAGTTGAAACTGCCGGTGGGAAGAGGGGAGGGTTGAGGCGATCGGTGGCCTATGTGGAGTTTCCCACGCTGAGAGCAGCAGTCATCATTGCCGAGATCATGGGGCGCACGCCACCTCAACAAATCTGGCATTCCTGCTTGTGGGCCTCCGACGGGCAATTGCGATCACCCAGCGGAGGAAGGGACGAGAAACATTTGTTGCGCTGCTATATATATAATCCGGCTTCAAGGTCGTAGTGTGTGAAAATTTTTAAATTTATTGAAAATTAATTTCCAGAAGGACTTGAATTTAATTAAATTGCATCGTCATTATAATATTAACGGAGATAATTATTTTCAGCCACATACAATATTTTGTATTCACACAGGAGTCAATGAGAAGATGAATGCATTCAATTTTACTCCAGGTTTTTATTTTTTTCTGGGAAACCATTCAATAATATTTTTTAAATTCAATTTCTTATATAGTCTCTTTTACCACGGAACGCCGCCCCTCGTTGTCTCCCACGTCCCCACGTCACCTGGGACGTTGCCCCTCGTTTTCCCCACGTCCTCACGGGATGCTGCCCCTCGTTGTCCCCACGTCCCCACGGGACGCTGCCCCTCGTTCTCCCCACGTCCCCACGGGACGCTGCCCCTCGTTTTCCCCACGTCCTCACGGGATGCTGCCCATCGTTGTCCCCACGTCCCCACGGGACGCTGACCCTCGTTGTCCCCACGTCCCCACGGGACGCTGCCCCTCGTTATCTTACTCGTCTGTTATCAGCACCGCTGATACGCGGCTTGACTTTGCTCATGATTTTCTTGTGATTTTATTCTCAATGAAAAGAGTTTAAATATTCAACTGCCTTTTCAAAAAAATATTATTATTATAATTCTATTGCTCTTTTTTTATTTGAAATTATATTGTTTTTATTTATTACCTAGTGAAATTGCAGAAGGGATTTGATTATGATTACTAGTTTATTGAGTGCGTCGAAAATCTTTAAAGGTATGAATTCCACAAATCAACTCGGATTTTTTTTACTTTCTACGATTGAAGGTTTCTACAATTATTTAGTGTGTTCAATATAAAATATTAAATAAAAATTTTAACCTGCTCGTAATTTTGTTGCTTAATTTATCGTTCAAAAATTGAATAGTATACGATGAGTAATTATTATTGTAATTTGTGATACGATGAGTTTTTATGTGCTTAAACATCACACTGATCAACTTCTAATTAACGGCTACGTAGCCTGATTCGAAACGAGCGAACTAGTGAACTGATTTCACCGCATTGAACTATTGAACTGGTTTTATCGCATTGAACTAGTGAAATGGTTTTATCGCATTGAATGAATTATTGAACTGGTTTTAACGCATTGAATTAGTGGACTTGTTTCATCGCATTGAACTAGTGAACTGGTTTTATCGCATTGAACTAGTGAACTGGTTTTATAGCATTGAACTAGTGAACTGGTTTCATCGCATCGAACTAGTGAACTGCATGGTTTTATCGCATTAAACTAGTGAACTGGTTTCAACGCATTGAACTAGTGAACTGGTTTTAACGCATTGAACTATATAGTGAACTGGTTTTAACGCATTGACTAGTGAACTGGTTTCATCACATTGAACTAGTGAACTAGTTTTATAGCACTGAACTAGCGAACTGGTTTTATTGCATTGAACTAGTGAAATGGTTTTATTGACCTAAACTAATTATTGAGTTTGTTAACCACACTTAAATGTACGGACAAATAATTTCTGATCTTGCTAATGCCAAATTACGTGCAGCTCAGTCAGCGGTTATTTTATCCCTTCCCCCCGGATAAAAAGTGGGTTCAAGATGTGGGGGTTCAAAGTAGGGTTCGAAGTGGGTTACAAGATGGGGTTCAAAATGAGGTTCAAAGTAGGGTTTAGCAGCACCACAGCCATGGGAGCCAGCAGCGCCCGTCCCAACACTCCACGGGAGGCCGACGCCAGTTTGTACTGACAATTGTTGATGGGTTAAGTATGAGCCGCGCTACAAATGGTTAACATACCTGACAATGGTAAAAGTCGAGGTTTTTAGGTAAACTTCAGTTTTAACATTCCTTTCGAATTTTAAAATTCACTTCATTAACATCACATTAATTGAATTAAATAATATATACTTCTTCAAATCACAAGCAGTTATCTTGAACATTTGTATCACAGTATCAGTGAACGCCGGTGGACGGCGCAGTGTAGACGGTGGACGTCACCGTGTGGACGGTGGACGTCACAGTGTGGACGATGGACGGTGCAGTGTGGACGGTGGACGGCACAGTGTGGACGGTGGACGTCACCGTGTGGACGGTGGACGTCACAGTGTGGACGGTGGACGGCACAGTGTGGACGGTGGACGTCACAGTGGGGACGGTGGACGTCACAGTGTGGACGGTGGACGGCTACAGTGGGACAGACTACCTGGACTTCTCAGCCAATAACTCAGCCTGCAGATCACCTCACGAACACAATGGATCAGCCTCGAGTCCACGGAATAATGGACCAACTTTTACTGCCGCTGCTAAATTACACGACCAAAGTAAAATATGGCCGAGAATTGCAATCCACAGGGGAGCGCAATATCCATCTAAGGCTGTCACAACTTTGGCCTGACGAAGCAATACGGCGCATTGCCGCAGATGAACTTTGTTAATGGAAGACATTCATGCACCAATATACGACTCTCCCGGTAGAAATTCATCAAGCATCCACACGAATTCGACGTCGAGTTAAACGTACTCTGGTCAGAAGGAGGAAATTCCTGACGAATTAAAACTGCTGAAAGGTTTTTGTACTTTACTTTAGACCTTTTTCGAAGTAGTATTTTTTTAGTTTTCCAATAATAACTTCAGCTATAAAGTTTTTTTTTGCAATTTTAAGTATTTCATGATGTTTCCTAGGTTGTTTATTGAGTTGGCTAAATCACTTGAACAGTTTTATTTATAAAAAGGGATCCTGAAACCTTTAATTATTAATTATATTCTAATTCGACGAATATTGTGCTAAAGACGTGATTAGAATTAAGACATTCAGACCCATATATAGCATATCTTGCTATTCGATTCCTTTCAATTACAAGTTTCTAAGTGTTGGCCTTAAAATTATGATATCGTCCGCAGTTGCTGAATTGCGATCATATTGATCTCAGTTTAACAATCCTAATAAATACGAATATAATTGCGACATTGGGAGAGCTATCTTCAAAATCCACTCTCAACGAGATTTTGTATTATTTTCTTCATATATTAGGTACCGAAAAACATAAGGTATGAAAATAATCAATCATGATAGTCTGAAAGTTTTTAGCTCAGTTTGGCTTTGAGCTTGACTGATGAAGGCTCAGAAGTTAATCAACGCCTTGGCATATTCGGCGCAGCGTTTTCAGCAGCAGCTGATGCTCTAAGCTGACAAATTTACAGCGTCTCGAAGCGCCGTACAGATTCTTCCGTAGCTTGCCTTACCTTATTGAAAATTATGGAGTGGTTATGACCGTTGACCACGCGGGGTAACATGATCAGAAGCACCTGCTGAGCCGTTGCAAAAATAAATGTATTGATACATAAATATAACAATAGGTTTAGTAATGATAAAAATGTTAGGAGAAAATCAATGATAAATTTACTCTGAAAACATCGATCAGTCGAGCCTTGTTAACGTCTATAGGTTGTGCCGAAGTCAGGTAATCTCTGTTCCCTATAGAAGGTCGTTTCATATTCATATATATATATATCTTCTCCGACTTTTTTGTATAATTTTTCTTCATTCCGTAAGATACCTTCAGAGAAGCATCGGTTTATGCAAAGGCTGTGGGACGGGTGAATCTCTTCGCAAGAAGTTTTACCCGCTCCAGGATCAGAGTAATTCAGAGGCGCCCCCTGGCGTGACTCATCATGGGAAGCTTGCGCACCTACTCCTGGGTTACCGTTACCCCAGCGGGGACACTTGGTAACCAATTACCACTCACTCCTGGGTTACCATTACCCCAGCCTTTAATTCTAAACCACTTGGTAACCAATTACCACTTATTCATGTGTAACAGTTGCCTCTGCAGGGACGCTTGGTAACCGATTACCACTGAGTAAGCTGTTTTTTTGCCAATATGCAACAAATTTGACATATTTCAATTAACAAGTAAAATTGATAGACGATAAACGACTGGGCTTGACATCCTCAAATTTAATGCATCTGAAGGCGTTTTAGTCCCGATTCAAAAAATTGTATTTTGTTAATTTCCCTTCCTCCCAATTTTCATAAAAATCATTAACAATTATTTGCTGTTGCCGACGCCCGATTTTTTAGGACGACAAGATTTCAAGATTCAACTCGATCGCTAATTTCCCCCGTGATGGCGGGCACAGCTCAGGTAGATCACAGATACCCTGAAGCCCTCAGCGGGAGCACAGTGGCCCTCAGTGGGAGCTCAGTGGTTCCCAGCGGGGCTGCTGAGGTCCTCAGGGAGGCCCAGCAGGGGGCGCCCCATGGGGCCTGCAGAAAAGGTCGTCGTGTATGGGCGTGC